GAAAGAAAGAAGGAAGCAGGGACCATTCAGTCTAGGAGAGGGACCGCACAGGGAGCTGTGGTCACCCCAGGAAAGGGTACCACACCCAGCCTGCCCAGAGGAAGGGACAGGGAAACTAATATGTGTCTAACATGTGTCCTCAGGGAATAGGGGGGATGTTAAAGGCTGGGGGGACCCAGAGAATGGCACTTTCAAGGGCTGCCACAGTCTAATGTTTGCATTTCCTCAGCTGCTGCAGAGATTCCCTTAAAGAAACTAAGTACATTATACGGAAATAGTTATTTATGTATCCACCTCTCCAGCCCAATCTGTGAATTCCTCCAGCGCAGAGACAGTGTGTCCTTCATTCACACAGAGCCACACTCCCCCTCACTGATTCCCCTCTTGCCACACCAGTCTTCTGTCAGTTCTTCAAGCATGATAAGCTCTTTTCTACTTCTGGGTCTCTGCACATGCTGTTGTCACCATCTAGAATGATCTTTCCCTTGTGCTTTTCTTTTGGGTCTCAGCTTAATGGTCTCATCAAGACCTTCCCTGACTACCTTACTAACAAGGTCCCACCCTACTGCTGTTTTCTAGCCACCTCTTGTTGGTTTCTTTCTCTTACCATAATTTATAATTATTTAACCCTTTTTTCTTCTTGTCTCCCCCATTAGAATGCAGACTCCATGAAGGCAGGGAATGATCTGTTCACTGTTGGATCTCTAACGCCTGGCATTTATTTAGTAGATGTTTAGTAAAGTTATCAAGTAAATTACTCATGCAAGTAACAATCATGAAGCAATTAAAACTATACCCAGAAAAAAAAAAAAAAAAAAAAAACTATACCCAGCTCAGAGGATACAGAGATGGAAAACATGGATTTGAACTTTGCAATTTGGTGAGGGAGACACATCAAACAAGGACTTGCATAATTACGTGATGATGGTAATGATGGGGGAGGTACAGGATGTTGTGGGAGCACATGGCAAGGGCATGGATTTTGTACAGAATTCAGGAAAGCTTCCAGGAAGAAGCAACATCTAAGCTGAGTCCTGAAGGATAGATGGAGTTCACCAGTTCACGGGGCGCTGGAAGATGTTCCAGGCTGACAGAAGGCCCAGATGCAAGAGGGACATGGCTCTGGAGAGTCTGAAAGAGGTTCTGCATGGGTATAGCTTAGAGCTGCAGCAAGAAATAAGATGGGGGAGGTAAACAAGGTAAACAAGGCCAGATCATAGAGGGTTTTCAAGCTAGGATAAGGAGTTTGGACTTTATCTTGCTGTCAGTCGGGAGCCATTAATTGGGAGAGTGGCATAATCCAATTGGTATTTTATAAGATGGCCGTGGGGCAGTGTGGAAAACAGGAAGAGGACTGGAGGCAGGGAGATCAGATGGCTAGTGCAATAACTTAGGCAAGAGATGAGGATGGTTTAAATAGAGGTGCGGTAATGAGGAAGTGACCTGGAGGAATTTAGAAGAGAAGGCAGAAGATGGGACAGGAGGCACAATCGAGGATGATGCCTAGCTTTCTAGCGTGAATAACATGGTGAAGGGGGCACCATCTTTGGGCCACATCCAGCAGAGAACCAGACACCTAGTATACATGCCATAGATGTCTACTTAACAAAGTAGAAATGGTCTTAGTGAAACATTTTCATAAGAGGAGTATACACCAGCTCACTTTCGGGTCCTGGGTCTACGTAGGATCTGCCATTCCCTACTGCGTCTACCTGCCTTGGGTTACTCATTTGTGACCTGCCAGGCCAGCCTTAGTTCAGTATTTCTAATCCACAGTCCCCACCAGGACCCATTTGCCTCTGTCCCCTGCTAAGAAGTGTGCCTTGTGTCCTTCCCCCACCCTCTCTGGCCACCAGTGTCATTATTGCCAATAATGCTGCTGTCATTTTTCATTAATTTTCTTGGTGTTGTGAAGTTATAGTAACATTAAAATTTATACTCAATAATATTATTACAGTTTTCCACCACTGATGCGATTATTATTTTTGTTCATTTGTGTTTGAAAGCCATTAGCATAAGATTTACCTCCACCAATATCTGCTGTGATTTTTAATGCCCTTGAACCTTGCAGCCAGCGATAAGTCTGTAACAACAGAAGGCTGCGAAGCATATAAATGTCTTTCTTGGGAAAACAGGGCTTTTATTTTCCTCCTGGTTGGACTCGGGTTCTTTGATAGAGCAGCTGGTAGGATGTAATGTATTAAAGGCTGAGAACACCATGTTAGTTTGCAGATGTGTTCAAGCAGGTTCCTGGTTATTCAGAGGACACTTTTATATTCTAGGAGGATGCATATTCTTGTTCCTTTTTTTTTTTTTCCTTTTTTTCTTTTTTTTTCTCTTGTTCCTTTTTTATGCTGCTTCTTACCTGACTTCCAGAAAAATATAATGAATTGTGTGCTTGCAGGGAACAATATTTAGAACCATGAATTCTTTGGAAGAGAAGGGACCCTGAAACCACTCTATCCTCCTGACTTTCTGAGGACCTGGGGAGCTGGATGCGTGGCTTAGCAGAGCTCTGGAAACAGGCTTATTTCAGAGGCTGGAGAGGGGAGTTTCTCTGTGGGGTGGGGAAGGAGGATGAGCAGGACCGGCCTCATGAGTGTGTGACCTGTTCAGACTCTCAGGGCCCCGTGCTGTGAAATTCAGTGTCACCATCTTGAAATTCTTAAGTTTTGAACAAGGGACCCCACATTTTCACCAGGATCTGCAAATTATGTATCTGGTACTACATACAGGTTTTGGAGTCAGACAGGCTTGGGTTCAAGTTCTGGAATTCTCTAACTATTGACTGTGCCTCAGTTTCCTTATCAGAAAAAACGGGAAATTTAATATTGTCTTCTCCAAGTAGAGGTGAGAGCTAAAAGTACATGTTCAGCATCTAGAGGGCCTGACAGGTGGTGACAAACCCTAGGACATGCTCAGTGGGATTTTTTTTTTTGCGGTACGCGGGCCTCTCACTGTTGTGGCCTCTCCCGTTGCGGAGCACAGGCTCCAGACGCGCAGGCCCAGTGGCCACGGCTCACGGGCCCAGCCGCTCCGCGGCATGTGGGATCCTCCCAGACCGGGGCACGAACCGGTATCCCCTGCATCGGCAGGCGGACTCTCAACCACTGCGCCACCAGGGAAGCCCTCAGTGGGATTTTTAACTCCCATGTGCAATACCCGTAATTAAACATTGTTATGACTTAATGTCAAGAACACTAGCCAGCTGGGAGAGCCAGACATCATCAGTGTGTACAGAAGCTAATCCAAGGTGTGCTGATCAGGAACACACTGAGCAAAGAACATTTTCCTCAGGGGGGCATAAGGTGGGGGGGTTCCATCCATCAGTTTTCAGCCTTTTTACTGCTATGACACATGACAGATAATGCTTGCCGGTACAATGTGGTCTCAGTTTCTCACAATTCATACATGCTTCCCTTCTCTCCAGAAACCTCTCAAGATAGCCAATGAGTGACACAGGCATTATTATGAAGACGCCCTTGGCCTTGATCTAATTAATTTGCAAACTTTAGTATTTCAACTATTATTTGTAACAGATGGTTTTCAACATACGATACAACAGAACAGTTATAGCCAGCGTATCACAATTGCATGTTTGAGAACCAGGAACCCAAACAAGGGATACTGCCTCCATGACAGGCTGGAGAGACCAGGACCAATACGAAGCCCTTCATGACTTTGCAGATCAACATGGTTGTGCTGTAGCCCGAATGAGTGAGGCCAGTTACGAGGCACGGCAGCCAGAGTCAGGGAAACACGAAGTTGTTGGTAAGATAAACTTGTGATGAATGACGTGCTGTCTCAAAACACTGGGTTCAACATTTTTTCTGAGAATGGAGAAAGGTTTTAAATCAAACTAATGACAAACATAAGCTAATTCCTGGGCGTTTTTGGACTCTGGTCCAAAAGAATTCCTCAGGGGATTATAGTAGGAATCAGGTGACCTGCATTCACTTTAGGGTTTGTGGGAGCTTGGAGACCAGATGGTAGACGTCAGGAGGAAGGGCTAGGGGCCTCAGCTCTGCTCGCCCTGCTGCAACACACATCGTGAGACACCGGGCCCAGTGTCTTCAGGGCCCCTGCACTGTCTCAGGAGATGTGGGCAGGAGCCTGAACAGGCAGCAGCCCCTCAGTGACCTGTGCTGGAAATGACCACACTCGAAGCACGGTTTGCTCTTTCCTTACTTCCTCCTGCGCACTTGTGAGCAGTGAGATGTGGGTGCCTACCCAGCTCTCTCAGGCCCAAAGGGCTTTTGTGGGTAGTGATGGCCAAAGCTGGGCCATCTCCTCCCCACAGTGCAGCCTGTGAATGACCTTCGAAAAACCATAGCTCTTCTTTCAAGATCCCTCATCAGCCTCCTTCTAGTGCTTTTGATGAGGGATGACGGTACTTCCCAACAGACAGAAAAGAATGACGGACGATTGCTCCCTTATCTCTCATTGGTATGAATGGGGTCCTAGATAACAGTCCGGCTCCTGGGCCCACATGACACAGTACATGGTACATAAAAGATGCTTCAGTCTATAATGATTATGATTCACCACTGACTAATTTATCAAACCCCTCAAGACATAGATGCAAAAAGCATGTGTCGATAAATAAATGTTTCTCTTTGGAAATGGTGATTTTAGCTTAGCGTGAATGTCACTCCCCCAGCCCTCTCATGGATCAGAGTAAGAAAACCGTAATCCACCGCACTGACCCTTGGGAGAACAGAGACATGGTATCCCAACAATGGAGCCACAGTAGCAGCTTTTAGCGCATGCTGAAGAAACCACAAATGCAGTTAGGGAAAATCTGAGACGACAAGATGGACATTTGTGCCTCTGTCCTCTACTGAACATAAACCCCCTCAAACTCAGTAAATAGATTTCACTTCCTATGGTACCAATTTTCCACCACATTGTACTGTAAAGTTCGAGCCCCTGGGAAAGAAAGCTAAAGGATGCTTGACTGCATTTCTGGGTTTTGGTCCTTCTGTGATTGTTTTTCTTACCTGTTGTCGAATTTCCTCCTCCATTTTCACTGGTGAGCCCAATTCTGCAACTTGTTTGACGCCTTCGCTCGCATATCCTCCATACTCCCATAGCACGTAATTCTTGGAGTGGGATCCACCAATGATTGCAGACCAGTGATTTGCCCGACCTGGGAAAGTCAATCAGGATGCAGGTCAGTGTGTATGTGGCTAGAACACAAGTCCCTTAAAGGATGGGGAGGAGGTGTAATTGAACAATGATTCAAGCAGCGTTGGCTAAGCACCTGCCCTGTGTTAGGTCCTGCGCTGTTCTGGGATGAATAAGACAGTCCCTGTAAGCAAGTATGTCTTGGGGATATATGACAGGGCAATGGGTAGATGTCTAAACAAGACGCAGAGGTGGCCCAGAATGATGACTCCTGTCTGGGAGGATCTTAGAGAAGAAGAAAGTTGAGAGAATTTTTAAATGCTGAGCAGATTTGTAAGACAGAACAGAGAGGAAAGGCTATTTCTGGCAGACTCAGAAACATTAAATAACATTGTGTGTTTGGGGAGCCATAAGTAATTTAGCATTGCTGTGTCACACACTGTCAACGGGAGAGGCAGGAAATGATGCCAGGGAGGTAGAAGGGACCTGCTCAAATGAGTTTGGATGTCATTTGAAAGGGTCTGAAACCACTGAAGGGTTCTGGGCAGGGGAACGAAACAATCACATTTGAATTTTAGATAAATCATCCAGGCAGCAGCATGAAGAATGCATTAGAGGGAGCAAAATTGGAGTGTGGAGCTGGGGAGGTCAGCACGGAGCAAAAGGTAAAGGGAGTGAGTGGGGAATTAGGCTTGACAGCTCCTGGGAAAAAGCACTGCTGTTTTTAGCTGGCTTTTTTTTTTTTTTTTTAAATCTTTATTGGAGTATAATTGCTTTTTAGCTGGCTTTTACGTACCTTCCAGGGTGAGGGGCAGGCAGGCTAGCCATGTGAAAGCATGGGAAAGGTGGTTTGGATACAAGGACATGACCAGTCTACTGCGGTTTGGTGAGGATCACGTGGGATGATGACTGCAGTGGGATGTAGCAGGGAATTAATGGATGACACAAAGGGAGAACAGAATAAGATCTGAACAGGACCAAGACAGAACTTAGCCTGAAGATTTTTCCATCTCAAGAGGGAGGAAGGAGAGGAGAGAGTCAACACCAGCACCTCCCTGGATTTGTTTTTGCATGTGATGAATATAGATGCATATATACTGATTACTAAGTTACATACAATCCATCATAGGGTTGGCTCAGTTGTCCGCAATCCTATGGTTGGTTTTATAAAGTCTTAAGTTAAGGAACATTTTCAGGCATAGCGAAGAGGAAAACTTGGACTGGGTGGACCCAGCTGACATTTGCAGTTTATCACCCTGTGGCCCAGAGTGGGAAGAACTCTCCACGCTACCCCAACACTTAAGAAAGTGATTCTGAACAGGCCCTGATCTTGTTTACGTCTGCCACCTGCTACCCAGGGTGCTCTGACCCAGAGGCACATCAAGAACATGGGCACAAAGCCACCTGCCCAGCCTGCTGAGGGGTGACATGATCCAGGCAGATGACATCACCACGTGGGTCCGCCCAACTGCTGGATCATTATTTCCCACGTATCAGGGAAATGCAAGCTCCATGTCATGTCCCTAGAGAAGACAGATGGAGATGTTGCCAGCTATTTCTCTAACTCACTTCCTGAGAAGGGAGAATGTCCTGGCTATCATCTAGGCCAAGAGCACTGCTTGGCAGGGGCAAGGGTAAGAACCAGTCATGACCTTTGGTTCATGAATGTGAACACAGGGAGACCAGTTTCAGCATCTCTTATTCCCCCGGCTCTGTTCCACCAAAATGTCCCCTCGTTCCAGACCCAACCTACCTGCAATTTCATACTTCAGTGGCTCAGCACATGCTGCTCCCTCTGTGCTTTCCTCCTCTTGTCATGGCTGACTCACTCCTCCTTCATAATCTACCCAGAAGCCTCCCAAGACCACCATAGAATGACTTAGGCCCTTGTCTTCTGATCACATTTTTTTAAAAATTGAAGTACAGCTGATTTACAATATTATATTAATTTCAGATATACAACATAGTGATTCAATATTTTTATAAAGTTAAAGTTATTACAAAATAATGGCTATATTTCTCTGTGCAGTACAATATATCCTTGTTGCTTATCTAGTTTATACTTAGTAGTCTGTATATCTTAATCCCATACCCCTAGCTTGCCCCTCCCCTTCCCCTTTCCCCACTGGTAACTACTAGTTTGTCCTATCAGCATAGATCACATTTACGATCCCTGCCGCACGTCTGTTTTCCCACTAGACTGTAAGCTCCCCGAGGAAGCCTGTCTTCAGACTGTATCCCCGGTGCCCAGCACTGAGCTTGCTGCATTGTGAATGCTTAGTACATGTTTCCTGAAGCATTCATCCAGTCAAATGCAAAGGTGGCAGTATATGTGCTCGAAGTGTTTGGGAACAGGCTGGCACAGATTCCATTCAATGTGATTAAATTCAAATCTCAGTTCAGCAGAGTTCCTAACTCCTACTGGGCTAAAGCACTCAGCTGTTCTGCATGCTGTTAAAAATAAACACCAAACAGCAACAAAAAGGAAAGGCATGGGTCTCAGAGCCAGCAGACAGGGATTCAAATCCCGGCATTTCCACTTACTAGCTGTGTAAACTTGGTCAAATTCCAATTATTTTATTTCCCTGAGTCCCAGCTCCCTCTTTTGTCATTCAGGGGTGATAATGCATACCTTATTGACCTGTTATAAGAATTAAATTCAATTTTTAAAATAATGACATAATATATGTGCAATCACTGACACACAATAGACCCTCAATAATTATAGTTTCCTCCTTTCCCGGTTGTTTGGGAGGCTACAAAAATGAGTAAAACATGAACCTGCCTTTAATTCAATATAGGAGATAAGAGATACATAATATGAACTAAGATAAGAGAATAGGAACAAGCACAATCACAGGGGGATTAGGGCATGGACCCAGATGGCTCCTTCTGGTTTATTCATTCAACTTCCATTTACTATGTGCCAAGCACAGTGGCAGGCCCTGAGCACCAACAGGAATTGGATATGGTACTTGTCCTGGAGAGACTCATGGTCTGGGGGTGGAGAAACAGATGGATAAGCAGATTACCTATAATCGAGCATGTTCAGAGTTCTAGAAACAAGAACACAGAGCAAAGGGGATGGAGCAGCTAATTCCAAATTCAAGGATTCAAACATACCACATTTATTCAAACTTCAATACACTGAATGACATCAACCACATAATAGATACCTGCAAGGCATTAGGCTAAGGTGTGGGAGCAGACCACACCCTCCCTGGGGGACAAGGTAGGCACTCATGGAACAACAGTCTGCAATGTTAGAAATAACAATGAATTCAGGTGAGTGGCAGTCACTCATGTGCAGAATGGTATGGGGGGAGGGGGCATGGTGACGGAGAGCCAGAAGACCTGGGCTCCAGGCCTCCATTCGTGACCATGAATCAGTCATTCCAGCTCTGAGAGCCCCAGTTCACCTTTTAAAAATAGAGATAATAATTACTAGTCTGGACTATCTCCCAAAGTTGTGCAAATTAATTGGGCTGGTTTGGGAGAGAACTACAAAAACTTTAAAGAACTGTGCAAAAGAAAGTCTCTGTAGTTTTACAGACAGAAAGCACTATGGGAATCCACAAGAGGAATCTACAAGAAGGCAGAGGAAGAAGGACATGTTCCCTTGGGAAGGAGACTCCCATGGGAAAACTGGCAGGACAGTAGGAGCGGGAATTCTATTAAAAATAGCTAAGAGGATTAAACACCTATTAGGTGTTAGGCATAATGCTTTCCTAGGTGTAGCTCTCACTACAACCTCACTGTCATCTTATAGATGAGGAAATCAAGGCCCAGAGATGTTAAGGAACCTACCCAAGCTCACAGAGCCAGCAAGGGGGCAAAACTGGGGTTCAAACCCAGATCCGCCTGACCCCAGAACACACGCTCTTTTCCCACATCCCACTGAGAGGTCAGGGAATGGAGACCGTTTGGCGGACTGGAGAGTTAGAAGACAAAGAGATAAGATGAAAAAGAAAGTCAGGGCCAGGTTGCAGAGGGTTCTGAGTGTCCACTGTGGTAAATGGCCTCGGAAGAGAGAGAAACATGATGGAAGTTTCCTTCTGGGAGGAATGACATGACAATAGTTAACATGCATGGCATTGTTACTATGTGCCAGGCACTGTGTCAAAGACTTGATCTATATTATTACATTAAATACTCAAAAAAGAAAATTCCTTTTTTTCAAACCCAATTGTTTAGTATGTGAGCTTGCCTTATAATCTTCTGTTTTACTGTAACACTATATCAATGGGAAAAAGTACCTTCTGAGATTCAAACAATTAACTTATAAAAGAATGTCCAGATCAGAAATTTAACAAAGAACTCCCTTCATAGCAAATGCTTATTTAAAAGAACTTTTATGAAATATTCAGACATTAAGAAATACTTATATGTAGCATATGCCTTTAAAGTTAATCAGAAAATTCTTTTGATATAGATGCTATCATAATTTCCACCTTTCACATGAGGAAACTAACCTGAGATCACCAAAGCAAATGATTGAAGATGCTGGGATTCAAAGTCAGGTCTGTCTGGTGTTACAGCCCAGCTTTCCTCCACCCCACTGCACCACATCTCTGGCAGGACACGCCAGCTGTAGGAGGGGAGAGGGCTCAAGGCTGAGGAGACCAAACCGGAGATTCATCAACATCCCCTGGATGAGTTGTGTAGGGCCCGACTTGGGGCAGTGGAGAGGAAATGGGAACATGGAACCAGAGGTATGAGCCAGTAAGATCAGGGAGGATCGGACAGTCTGTGGGAGTCAGTTTAGTGACGTAGTTAAAACTCTGGGTTTTGGAGCAGAACAACATGTATTCTAGTCTCCCATCTGAAACTTCCTGGATTGAATATGTTAGTCACTCTCAACTCAGTTTCCTCATCTGTAAAGTAGGGATATTGACATGACCAGCCTCGTGGTGTTTTTCTGAGGCTGATGTCCATGAAGTAATGACTAGTTAACACACGAAATGGGCTCAGTAAATACCAGCCAGTCAAATTAAATCTGAATGGGGCAGGGCAAAGCCAGAC